ATGCATATGTCTCCCATTTTCCTACAGGAACTCTGTTTGCCCAGAAGTCTGGAGGGGTCCCAGGGCCTGCTGTGTCGGCTGCTGCTGTTTCAGCCTCCACTGCTGGAACCAGCACTAGCTTTGGCTTCTCTGTACCCTTGGCTCAGACCCTCAGCCCCACATCCTCCTCCTCCTCCAAGGGTCCTGGCTCGGCTGAGCCGACCCCAGGCGGGTCGCCCTAACTCAGGATGCCCTTTGTACCTGTTCCCCAGGCCTCTCTTCCACCGAGAGGCCCAGCAAGAATATACAGTACAATGAGAAACCGATAAGAATAACAAACTGTTGCACAACAAATACCTCATCAACCCTGTCAACCTCTTGGCTGTCCAATCATGAACACAGAGCCCAAGAATATTATATGACAACATGTGCCCAAACGCACAGCTATGCATTTTATTCAACATACAAACATAAACACATGCTACACACACAATTATAAATATACAGACACAATCTACACATACATACACTTGTTAATCCTTATGTACATGCTAAACACAATCAGCTCAGCCAAAACCCACTGACAGGTGTAGTCACAACTGAACTTGAAAAGTTTTATCTTAGGACATTTTATTTGTTTGTTGCCATTTTGTTGTCTTTTTGATTTTGTGTTTTAGAATGATTTTATTTTTAGTTTTTCTCTTTTTACATACCTCAAATCAAGTAACCTGCAGTGGTGTCTTTACCTCAGGAGCTGTAGTATATTTAACCTGAATCAACTTTATTTTTGTATTCTTTTTGACCTAGTTGCAATCAGGGGAAGTTGGGTAACTCTCACCTCATGTACAGAGCACCCACCTCAGCGACAGGCCTCCAACCCGGGCTGCTCAGGTTTCTTTAACACGCTGTAGACTCTTGCTGAACTCAAACTAGTGAATGATCAGATGCTGTAGATCAGCACATTAAATACCTAATTTCACAAGTCCGCCCCTCAGTTCAGATCATGTCAAGTCTGTTATGGTGGTTGGAAGGTTAATGGCGTACACAAACCTCACCAAACTGTTAACTCTCACAAGCAATGCACAGGATTTTTATGTCCACTTAAAATTCAACTCATCGCAGGTCCGCACAAGCTGTCTTTAAACACGTAGCGCACAAAGTTGGGGGAACAGCAACTCTAATTCACCCACAGCAGGCCCTGAGCTCATTTTCCCACTCGGCTCCTGTCTGTGTTACAGAGAGGTAGTACAGAATCAGTTCAGAGTTTGTTGTCCCCCATTTTGTTTGTGCATCCTTCCTCCAGCTGCAGCCAGAGTGTCAATCTGACGGCGTCATGGTCAATGCGTAGTTCTCGGACCTCATACTGGCCTCTCTGCTCTGGAGGGCATCTCTCTCAGGAAACAATGGGACAGCTGCAAGGAATCACTGTTAATTTAAAGAAGGAATAAAAAGGATTCATACCCGGAGACTGCACAAGTCTACGTGACTGTACAAGAATACCTCAACAGACTCTTTCAAAAGGAGAGCTACACTACATACCTCATACGGCTGCAAAGCCATCAAGACTTGACACCCAACCTGAGATGGACATCCTACCTGAACTGAAACTGACATGAACGAACTGACACACTGCTGGTGGTTTTGGGGACAAACAGAACTGGGATGGGCTTGCTATTGCTCTCCTCCTGTATTTACTTGTAGAACTTGTTTTATGCTTGCTTCTGGTTTTTTGTTTTTTTTTTGGGGGGGGGAGTGTTCCTCAAATTGTTGTCTGATAAGAGTGATATATCTGCTTTTTTGTTTCAGGGAAGAGGAAAAGAATAGTTGGTTCCTCACTGACACATGTAGATTTGTAGGATTGTTAACAGGTTTCAAGGTCGCAGGGGTCAAACAAATTCCAAACAATCGACCATGTTAACCTTAAAATTAACTGCGAACACCTAAATCGCAGTGGACACGTCTTCTTTCACGACAGCGGCAAAATGATATGCATGTGTACAATCATGTGACCAGTGTTTTAACACCCTAATGTTCTGGTTCACGTTAGCCTCTGGTTATTGCACAGCTAGATTCCAAAGACTAGCCAGGTCGCTTCTCTTGATTGATCCCTCGTACAATCCTTCCCACACCTGCTGTGGTGCACAGCGAGGCAGTTAAAGGTCTGTTTTGGACTGCAGAAAATGTTTCATCTAATCTCATTTAATCTGATTTTGAATTATTTCATCCCTACAGCAAGTGAAAATATCTTGAGTTGAGGTAAATTCCCTTGTTTCACATTTTACAGCATGACTTGATTATTGGAAAGTTACAATGGAAATAAGTCAAATTTTAAAACTGGATTGGAGAATCTAAAATCTGATTACATGACAGATGGTAAAATGTCAGAAGACAGATTTAAGTCTTTCTATCCAGAACAGTAGTCCAGATGCTGTGGCTTTCGAGAGCTGTCTCCCTATTTTAATCTTGTACATTTATGGGCTCTTGGGCCTGGTTGTTGACACGACACCCAATGTGGACGCAGGGCCCCTTAGTCTTGCCCCCTTTATTAAAACACCCACTTCCTGATAATCCAGGAACAGTTGGATTATGTCTCCAGTTGTAAGGTATTTTTCTCCCTTTTTAAAGTAAATTTTTAGCATTTTAAAAAACCACAAAGGATGAAAATGAATTTTCTAGCTTTATCTGTGTTGAATGTGAGGCATTTTAACTGTTTAGAAACCTCTTTAAGCCCAGTGTGATCTGAGGTGGGCAGCCTTGTTGCTTTTATTAGGCCGTATTTTAGCCATTACGTGTCAGGATTTGCAGACAATTTGCAGTGTAGATCACAGTTGAGGGTTTGAGGACTTGAAGGGACGGTGCCGTAAGTCCTTCAGGCGTACCCTTCAGAACCCTGTATGACACATAACTGTATTTTATAAAGGTGAGAACTGTAGATGCTGCCTTAAAGTAGTTGCTGGTGAGATCCAGCCAGTGTAGGTTTCACTACTCAACTGGCTGGGAAAATGTCTTTCTCTTCAAGCTTAATCCTTTGGAGAGTAATCACTTTTATTTTGGTAAGCAATTCAATCAGACGTTAGACACCAGTTGTCATTCATGCTGTTGCATTAACAACTGAGCTTTGCTATTTATTTGTTTTTCTTTTCCTGGTGGACCTTGTTTTTAGTAACTGTTAAGCTTAATCATTTAGGCCGTGTTACTAAAACATTTTCTTGTTTCTAAGTCCAAGCTTTCTGTTTCATCTGCTTAGTCTAAGCAATGATTGTTTGATAGTGTAGCTTCACTGCCTGTGTGTGTGTGTGTGTGTGTGTGTGTGTGTGTGTGTGTGTGTGTGTGTGTGTGTGTGTGTGTGTGTGTGTGTGTGTGTGTGTGTGTGTGTGTGTGAGCAAGTTCAGTGTATAAGGTCTTGCCATTCTAACAGGTGGAGTGCACCACCTACATACACTTGTAATACTATTAAGTATACTGCAGGTGGCGCCACTGCCACATCTATATATTATATAGATTATATATATATATTATATTATATCACAGGAGGACGTGCTCTCAAATGTGAGTTTTGATTACATGTTTGTAAAATCTTTACTTAAATGGAGAAATGTCTCCCATATTGTTCAGTGGGAGCTGCCCATTACACCCACAGCCATCTCCTGCTGTTGAAGGGCACTGTGTTGTTCGTTGTTTAGGTAGGGGAAAGTGTTGAGGGTTGGTCATTCACTTCTCTCTGACCTCCAGGCTCCTGCCACCTGACTTGCTGTGTGGATGAGTATATATGGTGTGTGTGTGTGTCTGTGTCTATGTCTATTAGAGACGCCCCTACCTCGTCATACCACAATACCTCAGGGCAGTGGGCTGCAGTCACTGTTGCATTTGATATTGAAGCTGCATTGAGAGACGAGTGCTGATGGAAGCCGTGGTCACTTCGCTGAATGCTGCTTTGGTTTAGGTGTTGCATTTTTGTCGTCAGTAACTGCAGGCAAGGTCTCGTCACTCAGGAAGCTGTGAAGTTGGAAGTCTGCAGAACCTTTTGTCTCTCAGATGATTTTGGAGTTAATTCAGTTTTAAATTGTTTAAAAATTAACCTGATCTGTGTAAAAACAGGCGCATATGCAAGTGGTTATCGAATACCTCATTTATCAATTTTATGTTGTTTTTGGCTTGTACAATGCTCCGTATATTAATTCAACTGTGGGGTTTGTGCATATTTTTGTACTGTTGTTATTATTATGGACATGATAATAATGATATTACTGATATTATAGTTTTCTCTTTGATTAAAGCAAACAAAAATAGGACAAAACACATGAATGCTTGTAAAAACTGGTTTGTGCTGATTGTATTTAAGAGGAGCACTTTTCCAAAGTGGTTTTCACACATTCAGTTTTGTTCATATTAGTAATATAAAGATATGGTTCTCAGGGCTTTAAACTTGTATGTCATGATAAAGTTTTACTTTATATCTTATTTCCATGTATGTGTGCTTCATTTCTTCAAGTGTCTTGGGGCCTCTGACAACCAAATATGATTTGCAAATGTTTCATTCACACCCTTTGCAGTTTATCTCATGTTTCTGCTTGCTGCACTCTGAAGATTAGAAGTTCTTTGAAACACACAGTAGCATTCAGGGAAGTTGCAGCTTCACAGCTTCTGCAAGTTACCTCAGTTATTGAAATGTGTCAGTTTGGTCATTCCAAAACATAAACCACACTGCAAACCAATTTGGTTCGAGTACACCATGTTCAGAAAATGTCACAATGCAAGTTGTGAAAAGTTGTCTTTAGCTATCTGCATTTTTCCACCAGAGTTCGATTTGGACCACTCAGAGCAAAGACCAGACTGGAGCCACTAGTTTATTTTTGAAAGTTAACTTAAATATTAATAACAAAAGTGCCTTTGCAGTGACTGTGAGGAAGCCAAGTGTAGCCAAGTCCATGTAGCCTGTTGCTTTCAATCAACACCGCTTGCTCTTACGAGGTGTGAAGAACTACACTTGCAGACTGAAACAATTACAGGAAACTGCAGGATGAGAACAGATTAGCATTTATTTGAAAAAGGAACTATGCACATACAGATAAAAAATAAACTCAAGTAACAGGCACAGTTTATATCACATTCATCAGTTAAATAAGAACGACAATGTCTGGGACCGGGACACATCTGGAAAATCTGAGATAAATCCAATAAAACCAAAGCTGCTGGTTTGTTTGTTTTTGCTTTGGGTTGTAATTTGGCTTAACTGACCTAAAAAAACAGGATAAATTAATTTAACAAAGTACAATTTTAAATTTCAACAATGGTTTTGTCCTTATATTGCTGTGTTTAAGTAAGGGGCAATGAATTTCCATTTATGTATAACTTTCAAACAGGTTATTCACAGTTTTTGATATTTATTCATGTATCTACACTAAACCTTAATCTGGTAACATGTTAAAGATGTGTGTGACGTTGGTGAACACACCCTCTAAACACACCCTCTAAACACATCTACTATCAAACGCACACACTATGTTTGTAAAAAAGTGCTTATTTAAGGTGACTCAAATCAGTCAGTCAAAATGCAGGTGAAAGGAATTGTAAGCGGAAACATTTGGCAATATGACAAGTCTTCTCAGAAAGGATGGCTCAGCATTAACATAGTATTTTCAACAGCAGTATATTTCACAATATGAACTTGTTTCCTTAAACTTGACTCTTGAGTCTGCTCTAACCCAACCCTAACATACCAATGATGTATGAGGTAGTATGAAAGAAAGGAAAGTACAGCCAAGAAGGTGCGTGATGACGTGTCTAGAATTTCACATTACAGGAAATGGATGTAACACCTCTGGGTGTTATAACAAAGAAAGGTGATGTTGAGCAATCTTTCAATTCTCAGGTTTCATAAATTACAATAACATCATATCATCTTGCTTGATTGGTATGACACATTTTAAAAGTTCAAAACATAAATGTATAAATTTTAATATTATTTTGTTATTATTATTTGTTTACTGTATCTTTTTAAAGTGCTTGACAAGTGCTTGAATTTTACTCTTTAAAAACTGTACAAACCCTGAAGTAAATATGCTATATTTGGATATTTTAGCTCTTTTGCTCTGTGACTGTATGCAGATGTAATAATACATGAGGTGCACACCAGTTGGGTGTAGATTAAAACTGAGCGAGCAAGACGAAAGTTTAACTGAAATTACACTAACAAATGATGTATCAATATTGGTTAAAATTACATTCTGCTGTCTGTGTGGAGCTGAAGGCAAACACCAAGTGCAGTAAAGTGTTTCAAAAAAGGTGCATGTATGTGCATGTAGCAATTTATAGCAATCTACTTTCCCTGATCAATAAAGCAAATTGTTGGTAAGATTGTTTTCAATAACAATCCCCACTGCATTTTGTAATGACGCTGTTATGTCCTGATGTTTACATAAATGCCAAAAGGGCAGTAATTATTTTGTTATTAAAATGAGAGTAAACAAACATGATTTGGACCCTCAGCTACTGTATGACTAAAGAGAGTAGCTAAGGCTCCAACTAGGGCAATTGAATTCAATATTATCATTTATCACCACTGCATTAGTAGCATGTTGTTTCTCTGGACTAACAGGACAAACTCAGGATCAGAACAGCCAGGAGACAAACCCAGAGCAGTGGGCCTGCTGAATGGCCCGTTGCTCTGTTCCCCAGCTGTAGCTGGTACTGTGCCAGGACTTTACTGTAGCCCATCTCTTCCGACACACATCTGTAAGTTCCCACCTGCTCGGGACCCATGCTGTCGATCAGAAGAAGGCACTGCTGCTCCCTCGAGCTGCAGGATGTGGAGCTTCCTGGGTGTTGCCAGGTATACTGGGCATGATGGGACGACACCGGGCACTGGAGGAAATACCTTGAGTGAGAGGGAACTCTGATGGTGTCCATGTCCTCGCCTGCTTGTCTAGCACCGGAGTATCTATATGCTGAGAAAAGAACACAAGAAGGTCTCTTTAGCTTTAAGACGGATGTTTATTTTGTTTTATTTATTTAACCAGGCATGTGTGTTGTTTCAATTAGAGCATGGCAAGGTGTCTGGATCCTCCTCCTGCAAGCAATGGGCTAGTCACAAGAGGACCAAACCAGGATGGGCTGTGCACCCAATAGTGCACCAGTGTAAACTGTTGAGATGTGTAATGGTTTTACGGCAGTAAAATATGTAGAGCTCTGTCTGATATGAGTTCAGTTTGCAGTGTTTGCCTATTATGATCATGCCTCCTGGCTACAGCCCTGTTCTCCTGTGTGTGGTTAAACAGTGTTCTCTGAGCATTAGGAAGGGAATCGTGACCAAAACAGTCCTCCCAAGTTTTAGTATATATTAAAGGGTAGCTGTAGCAGTTCATGTATTCAGTTCGTCTGACTGTTATGGATTGTGGTCAGCATACACCTGAGCCATTGTACAAGGAAGCATTTCCCTGCCATCATCCATACAGTTGACCCAACATCATTCACTTAACTAGCAAAGCAGATCTTTAAGGCCTCATTCAGTACTAGCAGCCATAAATGAACTAATCCACCATCACAAGTCTGACAAGTAAAGTAAGCAAGTGACCATTTATTTATACTGGAAGTAAATTGTCAGAAGACAGACTTTGAAGTGTTATATACATCATTTATATTAGTACACTGGACACATATTTTTGATTGAGCCATATTTACGCAGGACAGCCACAATATTACTGATGATCAATCATCTCGCATTCTTCAGAGTGATTATCCTGTGAAAGGCATCATTACATCTTTGCATCAGTTGTGACCGGGCTAGAAAAGTTTTCCTGAAGTTCTTCAAATTCATCAGGAGCATTGTAGTGGGGGGGATGGTGTACCTGTTTTATGTTTCTGTTTCTTTGTGCCATCATTAAACTGTAAGTTAGCAGCACCACTGTTATTATTATTACTAGTATTAGTAGTAGTATTAAACTGAGTAAACACGAGTTGTTAGTGCTGTTTTGGAACGGTTTCATATGTGTAGATTGAATCTAACCAGCTAATATTATAAAAGGTAGCTTGCTCATAAGGAAGCAGCATTGCCCTCAGTTTCAGAAACAGCCACAAAGTGCCGTCAGCATCAGATCTGACACCATCTTGTCAGTCATTGAGGATGTGAGATCAGATAAGAGACAACCTCAAGTGCTCTATAACAGTCTCTCTCCAAGCAAACCGTGTAGTAACAGTGTACAGTAACTGTACAGTATGAAGACAGAAAAGAGCTGAAATGTGCTGGAAATGTGATTTTAGATTTGTTTTAGATAACAGTGGTTGATGTGGTAGCTTCATACTAGCATACAGACATGAACAGTGGTATCAATCTTCTCATCTAACTCTTGAAAAGAAAACAATTAAGCGTATTTTACCAAATGACAAACTACTCATCGACATGATATCATTAGGGATGCACCAATTGTGAAATTCTGAGCCGATGCCGATGTTTAAAATAACAATTTAGCCTATGGCCAATGATTTTTTTGTTGCCTTGTTGCAGCTCAGTCTATTTCTCCTCTCATCCAAGATGTGAGACGTAGAGCTGAACAGCCGCTCACTGTCCGCTAATCAGTATTCGTGTGCAATTTGAGCCAGTGCTGGAGAAGGTGATTTCTTCAATATCTGAGTTGGAAATAATCAACACAACTTTTATCCAGCACAAAACTCATGCGACACAACAGATAAACCTCTGTCAAAAGTGTGAAGTACTAAAACACACAGAAATGGCAAAGAAAAAATTCTACAATTTGCTGAATGAAATGAGAAAATGACAGAAATCATGTGTTGTGTGTCACATTGTGTTCCTTTGACTCACTTGTGTTAGGCAGATGCTTACATTTAAAGTAAATGCTTTCAGTTATCACACATCCAGCTGGGCTGCTGTTCAGCTGAAGATGAGCTTATCACATATTATGTTATACCACAGATTGCTCTAGCTGATTCCTTTCTAAAAATTGCAGCTGATCAACTGTGACAGAGTCCTAAATGTGTACTTTCATTTACGACCAGTGTGTTTTTCAGCACAACTTATAAGTAAATGTCAAACTTACCAGCTGCTTATGTGAATACACCTACAATTTATTGGTCCTCAATAAAACAGTAAAATCATAAATATCTTCCTACCTTTCACAGGGAGCTGATGAGCTGTCAAAGATTTGCAAATGTTATGGTTCCCTTGAGCCACATCCTGCACTGTGCCACTGTAAAAGGAAAGGGTATGTGAGTTCTCACTCATAAATTATGTGGAAGCAGTATATTATTTTATGAAACAAAAGGAAAACAATTCAAATGAAACTGAAATGATTCAATAAGTGCAGTCATCAGAATACAGTATTGTTCTCAGTAAATAGGGAATCTACTTTATGATTCATTACTAAGTTTGGAGTTTTTGCAGTTTTCCACTTAACATTCACACCTGTATATAGTGGCCATGCTTGAGGTTTCAATTGATATCAATATAATTTCTTCCTCATGGAGGAAATGAGCCAATGGTGAATTACACTTTTATGATCAAAGTCATCAGCCACATCACAGTGTGTAGAGGGGGGTGGCAGGGTGGGAGTGATGACTGTGTTCCTGTGTATAGGTAGTGTAGCAGCTTTAGTTTACCACAGACACACCACCCCACCAACATATACTAAGGTATCTAATTCTAGCTGGCTTCCTGTTTTCTGAGAAGTAACTCTCTTGCTATCAGAAGTAAAGTCCATTTCAGGTCAGCTTGTGATCAGACTGATACAAAGTTGAGTCTCTCTGTCAGCTTGAGTAAAACTGTAAATGTGTTAATGTAATATTAATAATAATACCAGCTGCCACGTGAAAAATTCCCTACAGTACCAGTGTAATAGGAAATGTGTTTAAAGTAAAAATGGATCATAATGAGAAAAGCTCTCATTAGAATGACACAGTTTTTCTGGTTATCATGAAACCCTTTTATCGTGTACAGGATGGGAGTTTATTTTATGTCCCCAAGAGACCTGGGTTTTTTTCACTTACATTTCCTGAAAGATAAGAGTTGTAATGTAAAAAAAAATCCAATACATATTTTATATATTGTTCTATAATGACAAACTTTTCTGAAACTTTCCTGAAACTAGTTCTAAATTGCTGTACTTGTAAACAGTAACATCACACACAAAGAATTTTTTTGAACTCCCAGTCAGGTGACTGCTGTTTAGCTGCCAAAACCTCATGACTGCCAAGCACTCTTTGCTCTACTAACCTAACAACAGGCTACTGTCACACCAACACCTCCGCATTTCTCACTGTCCTATTATGTTTGTGCTAATAAAATCCTTGTGTTTAGATGCATGTTATATAACGTACCTATAGTCCACATTTGTACCCTCTTTTGATGTTATAAATGAAGTTATGTACCCATTAAAATGTCCACAGAAACTTCGAAAACCACAATCTCCACTATTCTCCTCTATGCTCAGTATCCACTCATACTTTTTGCTAGGTATAAAGTAATATGTATGTAAAATGTAGCATTATATAAAGTGTCATCTTGTGATGTTTTGTTTTGTGATAGTAGTGACAGAGGCTTATTAAGGCTGTTGACTCATTTGCTGAGACAAATAACAGTGTACACCGTCCACCGTCACAGGTGTGACAGCTGTATATTAGGAGCATTATGTTGTAAAATGATGAAAAAAAGATGACTGGTACCAGGTTGGGCAAGCAGGCCAACTGTACTGTAGAAGGGCTAATGACTACATAACTAGCTGTCAGTATTATGTGGGTGTTAAATATTTAATATCTTCAGAGTTTCACCATACTGGAAGTGACTAGCAGGCACAGTATGAAGTGAATCTAGTAAGTCTGATGATACAACGCTGATCAAATTGTGTTGACTGATGACTAATGATGTGACAGAGTGTACAAACTGTGTGGCTGGCTTGGATGAACCTGCACTATTATACCTAAGTATGTACCCTGTGGAGTTTCTGACCACTAGGGGACATGTTTTTATGATGGATCCCCCATTTGTTTACATTGTATACACGTGAGCATGCAGACAACACAATATATATTTCTGCAGCTGGTTTCATGATATTCCACTGATTTGCTCCAAAACATTTGTTGCAGTAATGTGTTAAGAAATGAAGGGACGTGCAAACAAAGGCAGTAGGTAGAGAGACCGTTAGGTAGCAAAAAATAGATGTAAACAAAGGACAATTTAAAATAATAAAATGACTTGCTTGTTAACAAATGTTTGTTAGACCTCAAACATACACACAGTGTGTTTTGGTGACAGACAGTGAATGTAGACATAGCTCCACAGGGCACCTTTACGCTAAGGCTGCTACATGCAATCCACTGTGTAGAATGATTACTGATGAGCATGATTTGTATCATCACCAGTAGTTTGGAAGTCAGTCCTGGTCCAGTATGCAACTATGTAGAAACTTAAAGTCACCACTGCACATCTACTGAGAATGGACTTTACAGTGAAGTAGGAGACATCTTGTGTCCAGCAGAAAATCTTTTTAATGAGGTTGAAGGAGCAAATTAACTTTAAGGGATTTTAATGTGGAAATGATACTTTTTTGCCCAAAACACAGATCAGACACACATTATTGTTCCAAGCAGACTATTTATAGTATATATGTATGTATATATATGATCTTTAAATGTCTCCAGGTACATTAAGACCGGTGCTCTTACTTTGTCTCATGGGTGCAGTGGATGCCGTTCCAGCCACAGTAGGGATCTCTGGCTATGACACAATCCTCACAGCTATCTCCATAGTGAGCACAGTTCGCCACATCCAACTGGACCAGTTCACTTCTGGAGTTCACATACAGCTTCCTCTGCAATGAGACACAGTACAGAGGGTTTGTTTTTTAAATTGTAATGTATCATTACCAACATTTTTATTAAAACACTTATATCCTTGGAAAAATGTCTGATGAGCACTGTTCTTTAAGAAATACTACAATTGTTTTGTGAACTCACTATACCCTTACTGAATGAATAAAACTCCATACTTCCACCCTTGGTGGAGCAATAGTGTAGGCAGTGCTGTTACTCACAGAGGAAGGGTGAAGAATGATGTTGAGGATCGGGGTTCTGTGGTTGAAAGGTCGATACTCAGCGATGACAAAGGCCTGACTTTCATTCATTATCATCTTATGAACGCCCCCATTTTCTGTATGAAGACACAGGAAGGAGGATGACTAAATAATCAAACATGTCTGAACCAACAGCCCACTGTCTTATCTCCTGTTTCATCACCTCATATGACTCCTCCAGCCAAGTCTATCAATAGTTTGATAAAAAATAAATAAATGAAGTAAGAGCAAAAATGTCTTCCTTAAAACTTCTTCAAAAAATCGTTCCTCCTTATTCAGGATCTATTTAGACTTTGCTAGTTGGACTGATATTGTACTACAGTCTTAAGTGCTCACATGGTGAATTTATTTATCATTTATGTTACAATACACTATGTTATAGTATGAGTTATGTGTCTTCCCCACTGACATGGTAAACTGTTCAGTTGGCTCAACAATCGTCAGCCTTCTGATAATGAGAGCATGGCCCTCCATCAGGATGTTCATAATGTATTGGGTCAGACAATTTGGAGCACAACCTTGGCAGCTGCAAGCCATATTTGGTTTAAACTTTCACATCCTATTGAACACATTTGGTTAAAAACAAAACAGAAATTAATGTTTCATTTCCACCCCCTGTCAACACTCCCATGGATAAAGCCCACCCAGAGGCCCGAGGCTTGGATGCTGTTCACTATAATATAATCAGTGTTTTGAAAAGTCAATGGAGTACTGTAATATTATTGGTTATTGCTCTTATCTATTAACTCATTTCACACAAGACATTGCGCATGATGTACTTTTGTTCTTGGGAACCCAAAGTTCCCAGGGCTATGTGGAGATATGTGAGAGTCAAACAAGAAGAAGAAACAAAACGAAAAGATGTTTCTCCTCTTTCTGCTATGCACGTTGCTTTTAAGAGGCCAAGCCAAGCTAAAACAAATCCACGGCATCGAGTGACAAATTGTTCAGTTAGAGGTTCAAATGTGTCTTTTGGTGTTAAATTCAAAACCGACTTCTACGACATACAAGAACCATGAATGAGTCACACACCCACATTTGCCCTATAGGTGATCAGTTCTCTATTCTTTTTAAAAAGGAACCTGTCTATGTAATCACCTACAATCACAGTACAGTACACTATTCTTGGTATCAACTTCCCTGATTCACATTACTGTACTACTCACTTTGAGACAGAAACAGGACCGGGTGGTGATCGTTCCCCCTGTACCGGGAACTGTCAACGTAGATGTGAGTGTAGCTGTGGTGACTAAAGAAAAGTGGACCAGGATTGTCAACAGGGTGGACCCAGTTCTTCATCTCTGAAGTCTGCTCGATCTTCCTCAGGGTATCTAAAGGAATCTTTTTGCTGTCTGGAACACACTGAAGGGAAAGGCATAGGTTTTGGTTGGATTGTTACCTCCATGAGCAAAAAGACCTGTATCAGGCTTAGATTTTATCTTGGCTATATCAAATTTAGGTTACACTGATATTAAAACGAAGGATGTGGAGTAGCCTCTCTTTTCTGATGTTACCACTGGTGGTGTAAAAGTGGGGGATATTTACATTTTGTGGCTTTAAAATACAAAAACAGTAAGTTATGTAGTTATTTTAATGATACCAGCGTTGATACATACCGCTCTCGATCTGCCACTTTTCTCGTCTTTAAATGGGGAGGTTGTGAAGATGTTGTCAATACCTTGTATGGTGTAGACACACACAGCACTCATACCCCTGCAGAGAGACACAGAGGTCAGCTGGTCTACACAGACACATCTGCAGCATCAAGAAAAACTGTTAGTAAAGATTTCTGCCATGCTGATCAAAAGCAGAAACAGTAACTGCTGAGTGGATGGGGCTAAGTTTGGAAAGAGGAACTGAACTGAATTGAACTTTGCCCAAAAACTACTGAAGAAGAGAAACAAATGAGAGAGAACCAAAGAGATCAGTCTGAGCAACTCAATATTCAAAGCCCACAGAAAATGATCTACAATGGTTTGCCCATTTTGTGAGCTGAAGTTTCTCTTAATGAACTTCTGTGTAAACAACCATATCTACGTGTGATGGGAGTCTTTTTTCCCATCACATGTTTGTGGTTGGTGTGACTCTGCTGTTTTATTTAAAACGCAAGTCACAAGGTTATCACTGTGGCTGACTTTAATCATATGATGCTGACCTTTGCCAAAATGGGTCACCAGTCAAGTATGGATGATATTTTTTCTCATAAGCCCAGCATTTGATAAGGCAATGCCTACTACTACACATACTGTATTTCATTTTGGGGAAATCACATTCACCCTAACTTGATTCAAGCTTGGAAAATAACAGTGCAGTTACTTAAACTTAAAGTAAAACCTTGAATGCATGAGTGATAATGGAGTCCTACCATTCATTTCTGAAGAGTGCATAAACCCTGGTGTCCTGCCAGCGGTCTGCATCCACAGTAGCCACATCTACCAGCTCAGAGAAGTGCTGCCTGCTGTCAGAGTCTCCACAGAAGAGCCTGGCATTCATCTGGGACGTCCAGGTAAACTGTAGGGTGTTCTTGGGACCACCAATATCTGCCTGGAAGCAGCGCACAGCAAAACAATTAATCACACATTAACAACGCATTATTATTATTCATGTATTATTAGTATATGCAACTGATATGGCTACACTTCCTGTTAGCTTATTTATGTTGACGACTCACACTTGTGTAACAGAAATTCTAGAGCGCGAGTTTTACCCAGAAATGCTTTCTATCAGCGGTAGCTTGGCTGCTAAGCTGGGTTAGTCAAGCTCTTTGGGCACAGTCAAACTGATATACTATTATTGTTCAACTGTCGGGTATGTCTGTGGAAACACTTCACACGTGTCATTTATGACAGGATCACCTGAATGTGACAATTAGCGAACAAGACGAAAACAGAATGGCAGCCTCTCACTGCAAATGCAGACCTTGCCAATGTAATAGCTAATGCTGTACAGTGTTTATCGCTGCAGTTATGGGACCATACTCAGTCGTAGAAAAAGATTTAAGCATTTGTATCACGTTTTATACTTTCATGTTCTACTCCTAGCAGGATGATCAGATCCAGCTGAAATTTACTCATAAAATGCAAAACACATTGTTGATGATATGTGATGACTGCGGTGAGGGGGCGTGTCTTTGGCGTGGCGGGAAATTTTGATGTACCGCCACAAAACACGAATTTGCTAAAACTTGAGTGTACATTGTCCAATCGGAAAATCAGCTTTTCTGTTAACATTTGAACACCTTTTGGGGGGCTAAACATGCCGAACATTCATGAAATTTTGCACAGTCGTGGCAAACGCTAAGGTATTGTCTTGGTCCCGCGGATGGGCGCCGCCAAACAGCTAAGCCACGCCCCCCAGAGTCAGCCCCCAAGACCCGTAAGGCCCACATGTACGAAAATTGCTACGCATGTGTATGATGATAAAAGAAGCAGAAAAGTCTCAAGGACCCATACCTCAAACCCAACAGGAAGTCGGCCATTTTGGATTTTGTGGCCATTTTTGCGATTTGTACACGTTGTATTTGAACGAACTCCTCCTAGGGCATTTATCGGACCGACTTCAGATTTGGACACAGCCATCTAAACACATTCACCATTAAAAGTTGTGCTATTTATGTTATTCCGTTAAACTTTGTGGATGTGGCGTGGCGTCCCGTGTCGTGCATTTTCGATCCTTCGCCATGAAAGAGGGATTCGTAATAACTTCTGCGTACATGATCCGACTGCAACGAAACTTCACATGTTCGATAAGAGTCCCGCCCTGAACACGTCTATGTGATAATATTCGGTAATAGTCAGAGCGCCACCTAGTGGCAACAGGAAGTATCACGTTTTATACTTTCATGTTCCACTCCTAGCAGGATGATCAGATCCAGCTGAAATTTACTTAGCAAAACACATTGCTGATGATATGTGATAGCTGCGGTGAGTGGGCGTGTCTTTGGCGTGGCGGGAAATTTTTATGTACCGCCACAAAACACGAATTTGCTATAACTTGAGTGTACATTTTCCAATCAGCTCCAAACTTCACTTGTCTGATAAGAGTCCCGCCCTGAACACATAGTGATAGCGCCACCTAGTGGCAACAGGAAGTAAGTGCTGCAGGGCGATTTTGAGCCGATTTACGTGACATTTTCATGTTGTGGTCCGCGCATGTTACGACGGCACGTGACGTGGCCGCAGCGCACCCCAGCAGCACGTGACGTGGTCGCGGCACGCACCGACGCGCGCCGGGTGCGAGATCCCGTCCAACGCTGCTTGCAGCTTTAATTATTATTATTAACTTTAATTAAGAACTGAACTAACGAGCCACTGTTAAATCAAAATAAATGGCAAATATGTTTTCCTTACGGTACCAAAAAGTTTATTGAACCATGACCCCAAAACCGAACTACACCCCACTTTATAACTTTTTTTATTTTTAATACATACAACATAGGCCACAATATATATATATAGTATATGGGCACAAGTACCCCCAGGGGCCACTCATCAAGGCCAAACCATCCCTCGGCACAACACAAGATCAACATCACAACCAAAAAGCCAACTCATCAGTCTACCAAATATCCCAACAAGCCCCAAGCAACCCAATAAAAACTCCTACACTTACAATACCTACACACACACACCTATAAACATCTACCCAGTCAATAAGGATAGTGCTTAATTGACACACTCTTGCATACATACACACACAAAGCTGAAATGTTTGTGGAAGTTATTTAATCCTAATTTATTAACTATGCGGTCCTTACCGTGCAAACCTGGGTCACAAAAGGGAACCACATTTCACTGTACAAGCCTGTGTCTCTGTTTTTCTCCTTATAGAAGGCATAAACTCTGTCTTGCAGGGGATCGTCTTTCCGTCTGCTGAGCACCAAACCCACATAGTGCTGCTCTGAAGACACAAAAACAAGGGAATTATTTGTCTCTATAGCGCCCTAGGACATATGCATGTTTAAGGAACTTCTCAAGTCCTTAAGGAAAACTAATAATCTCCATGCAAATACCTTTATCTTGGTTAGCTGGTCCAACTCGGTGTTTCCCAAACTTGTGGATGCCAACAAACCCTGGAGATCCAGAGTTTGTAATGTAAAGGTCTTCACCTCCTTTTGATTCTGCAAAGACAAAAAAATGCTTACATTTTTATTTAAAATGTTTTTGATGCCAGTGGGAGACTGTAGAGCCTAGTAGGTACAAGCAGGAAGCACCAGTGCCATCTCATTATAAGAAGGAGACAAAATCATTACAAAATATCCTGTGTGTACAGACACTCACCCACAAGGGTTGATGGTTCACCTTCCTTTATGACAAATGCTCTTATGCTTCTTTTTATGTTTTCTGTTTTTTCAGAGGGAATGCACTGGGGTGACTGCTCTGATAATTTCTGCAAAACACAAACACAGTAGGCTTTAAAATATCCATCACTGATTGCACAAATGTGACTCAATGATTCAATACACTCAACTCATAAAAGCTTATATATTTTTTGTTTTATCATGGTACATCTGGATAAAAAGATTAGCAGTGATAGCCACTGTGATCAGACAGAAAGGACCACCACCAGTGACTATTCCTAATGTTTATAGCAAAACAGACATTTTCATTTTCATCTTTTCCTCCCATCCTCAGTAACATCCAGTAATATCCAGTAAATCTCTGCAGTGTCCTACCGTGTTACAGCACACAGTTTCCTGGCCATCGGTTCCACACACAAACACCTGGTTGGCCTCTTCTCTCTTGTGGACCACAGTGATGTTATATTTGCAGTCCTAAATGAAAGGAGCAAGAGTGATATTTAAGTTTAGTGATATTTAAATCAGATCTCACCAACATACCAAATATCTGCTGTTTGTTCTGCTCACTCTTTGTGGAAGTTGACTGTCGCTGCATTCTTCCCACAACACCGTTCTGTCCACTGGAGTCTGAAAAGACAAAAAAATAAATCACTATAAACACATGCCATCTGTTATTTAACTGCAGACTCTAAATATTTCAGATCATTTATATAAGTTATGTGATCAAAGATGTCAGAAATGTTCACTACCTCCTGAGGATTTTGAAAGTTGAATGAAATCAGGTTTTTTGGTCCAGCAGCTGTGACAGTGTCCGGCTCTCCTCCCAGAACAATCTGTACAGGTACATGGTCGCCAGGTAAAGGGACCCTTTTCATTGCAATATCTACAATAAAGAAATAAGAATGATAAAGGACTGCACATTGGGTGTGTAATGATTGAATGAATGGCAATGACCATTGGTCCGGCCATGATATGGTCTCCATTCCTCTAAAATTAGCATTCCTATTCATAGCCACAGAGGGTTTGTGTCTGGCGACTGCAGATATATCTGCTTTGCTTGCTTCATGTCTTACAAAAGACAGGTCAGCTAGTTTCCATTCTTAAAATCTAGAAAAGTGTCATAGCCTGCAAAACATTATCACATTTTACTTTTGTGTACCATTTGAACATTTTGAAAAATTAAACCATTTCCACAAGCAAGTAGATGCTGACGACTTGTGGTAAATGTGTTTGTTGGTCTGCTGAGCTAGTTGCAGTGTGAGAATGTATATTGCTTTCCACCGTAGTGTTAATGTGAAAGCCACAAAGCTGTATGAGCAATAATTTTAACTGCTTTTTCAGCAGAAGTTGAGGTGTTACTTATAAAATAAATGAGAACTCTGCTCTATTCAAGTATACCAGTAATCCATGAGTGTGACAGAGCAGTGAAGCAGCGAAATGGAAATCAGCCTTCATTAATGTGACATGTCAACATGTTTCCTGTTAATAAAGAATTTTTATAGCAGTCACAACTTCCCCATAATGGTTCAACCTCACTGAACATTTTGAACAGTCTGTACACAAACTCATACGTTTGCAATAAATGTAATATTTTAAATAATGTTTTACATTCTGATTATATCACAGGCCATAAAACTATATAGGTGTGTGTGACACCATGTAGTCTTCTCTCTATCTACATGTCCTACAGCAGAAAGGTACTATCATTATTCACATTGCCGTTAGCCCGGAGAGAAACCGTCCATGTACTGTCAGAGGTTTTAAATTAACCGGAAAAACGAGAGAAAGAAGACTTCACATTCCTCAAACATCGTCAACATTTTAAAACATGTCCCTTGTCTTCTTGTCTTTGGTACACGACCACTGACACTAATGACGATGTAAAAACTGCGTCATGTTTCAAAGTAGAATAAAACTGAAATATTATAAACATACCTTTTTCTGTGAATACCATCCTGGGTAAATGCGTTGAGTTCGCCTCTGTCAAACTGTTGAGGCATGAAAATATGAAATATCCCGTAAAGAGAATCATTGTTCAGTTGAACTGTGAGCGGCGTTCAGTGTCTCTCTGAACCTCTGACACAGGGCGGAGGGTTCTCACTGATGCTCTGTTGCCTAATGAGCGGCAGTTACGCCCAGCTTCTTATGTTCCTGTGATGACTATGACCTTACATAGTAAGCTTTATACAAATTATTGCAACTAAGAGAGTTTAACAGCACAACAACAACAAAACTTTAATTGTTTATCATGAATATTATTTATTCCAGCCAGTGTGCTTAGATATATTCATTAGATTTCTGATGCAGGTAACACAAATATAATGTAAAAATAACTTAACAATTCAATAACAAGTAGGTGATACTGGTCAGTCAGTGATGACCATCTGATATGATGTAGGCTACACCATGATGGTGACTTTACCAGCCTCTGCTCCTGAAGCAGCCACCTATCATGGACACTGAAGGACATGACAATATTTAGTCAACACTTCTATCCACTGATGAGATATGGATTTCCTAATAAACAATCTCTGATGTCTTGGACTCCTTGTCCTCTAACTTCCCACAGATATTTACCCACAATAGATGATGAGCCTTCTGCTGTAAGGGAATGATTGAAGGCGTCATAATGCTGCTTCTCCTCTGGCTCCTCATTCAGGTTCTCTTCATTCAAAATCTGGAAGGTACTCAAATTTACAGAAATTCAAGAGTAGGTGTGTGTCTAAATTAGTTATACAGTGCATAACATTTAATAGCACATCCAGATCTACTAGTTTGACTGTGCAGACAAAATAAACAAGAAATCTTAAGGGAACTGTAAATAAAGTAAATATATATATGGAAATTATGCATATGACATTCAGTTAATAAAAACACCCATCATGTCTTAAGTTTAATCAGAAATTGGACTGCTGGTGAACTGACTGTAAAACTTTCTCACTCTCACTCTCTTTCTCTTTGGCACTGTTGGGGTGGAGCACAAAAAGCTTTGTAATTTGGTGGAATAAAATGACTGAAAGCATTATTATAATGTGCCGGTGTAAGTATGAGTAATGATAATAGTTGACCACTAAATATGGACCAATGGATATGAATGTGATGTATAGATTATAGGTCAGATATAAACAGCATAGGCTGTAGTATAAATGTGTATTGGTTTGTCAGAGCATAAATAGTGCAGGTAGTAGGTGCAATAGTGTGGCTGTCGTAGGTGCGAGGTTGCAGTGCAAGAGAAATTCAAAGTGCAAATGTCTGGGGGAAAGTGTGAGTGAGGGGGGTCGGTGGTGGAGAGGTGAAGAAAAGTTTAGTCATCAGAAGATGTGTGGGAGGTTTCCAGGGGGGTTTATCACTGTGGTGCAGAGTTTAGCAAGGTGATAGCTGAGGGGAACAAGTTCTTCCTGAGCCTGCTGATCATGGAACAGAGAGTTATCACCACCCTCTGCACGGCTTTCTGGTCAGAGACCTCACCAGAATCTGAGATGCAGTTAGTAATGCTCTAGATGGTGCAGCTGTAGAAGTTCACCAGAATCTGAGGAGACAGATGGACCTTCAGTCTCCTCGAGAAGAATATTAGCATTAGCAAATAGGATTGCTGAATGAAGTTCAGTCAGACCTTAATGTACCACATTTCTTCTTCTTTTTCTTGCAGAAGATGTTGCAACCCATTTCTGGGTTGACATTTGCACTTTGTACAGTGCTGTTTATAATAGACAACTGGTTCCTGACTGTCTCTTAGTGATACATGGCTGCTCCAACGGTTCTATGGGTCTTCCATCCGCTTTACAACAAGCCCTTATGTTTGGTATGGCCATTGCAAAACAGGTCATCTTAAAGGAGTGGAAGTCAGCTTCCATCTCCTTGCTTTAAGAGATGGCTAAATTATATGGTTTCCTGTATACACCTTGAAGAAGTTCGGTTTTTATGTCTAACTCCCAAGATAAGCTTAAGAAGATCTGGGGCCCTTTCATAGAATACATCAGGAAGGATAGACCACAAACTGGGACCTAAATGCACTGCACTGTTTTTTTTTTTGTTTGTTTGTTTTTACTTTTGTTAGTTATCCATACTGAGACTTTGCCATTCGCCTCCGGCTCAGGCCCTCAATCTGTGTGAGTGGACTTTCTGGGACATGTATAATTATACATTTTCTTTTCTATATAATGAATAAGTGCTGGCTGTATGTTTTTTGTTTTTTTGTTTTAATTGTCTGGTTTCCTGTCTTTTTGTGTTTGTATTGTATGTGCCTGTATGTATAAAAATCTGCAATACAATTTACAAAAAAAAACAAAAAAACAGTCACGCTCTACTCAGCACCTTTCAGTCCAGGGACCCCCTTCAGTCTGCCAGTGAGCTTTTATAAGAAGTAATGCTAGATAGATAGATAGATAGATAGATAGATAGATAGATAGATAGATAGATAGATAGATAGATAGATAGATAGATAGATAGATAGATAGATAGATATATTTATCCTCAGGGAAATTCAAGTATCCAGTAGCATAAAAAATACAAAACAAACATTAGACTAAAATTAAAATCCCTAACCTTAAGAATAGAATTTAAAATAGAAGATACAATATAAAGTATTATATATATAGATATATATCTACATTGTTGAGGAATCTCTGTATTTCAAAAACTCATTCCTCGCGCGTTCGTTTAATGAAGCAATAGGAGAAGATTTAGTTTACTCAATAATCAGCTTTATTCTTAACACCAGTAGAATGTGCAAAGTTTACAGAGCTCTGGGTTCAACTACGGTTAACCTGACATGCACAAGGTCTGCCAGTTCACGAAGTCTGAGCAACCTCTTGTTCCTAACATCAGTTCTTATGTTTTTGCAGATAACACACATAGCACCAGATGGTAGAATTTCCACCCCTCATCCACTTGGTATCTCGACTCCAAGGATGGTGTTGTTGGGGTAGCCACAACCTGGAACTGGAAGGAGTCCATCTGGCTCCATCATTGTTTTGTCTGATACTGACCTCGGAGGTCGTGTTTACCGCTATCTCTCCAAAAGAATGTCATGTTATATCTGCAACTACCCACACTCTTCTCCCTTATACTGTGTCTGCTATTCATATTCATTAGTAAGTTATAATTCTATAACACATCATACAAACATCTAATATTCCCTTAACAGCCCTTTATCAATGTAAGCATAATCAATGTAAGTACGAGTAAACATATTTCTATTCTAGTTAATAATCATACAGGTAAAAATATATAGAGTATAAATCACAGAATATCGCAACAGTCCCCCTTTTGGTCCCATAGAAACTGGGACCACCACCTGAAAGCAAAAATTGATTTATAGCAGCAAAAATGTATTTATGGCCGACCTTCATTGATTGAACACATGATTATAAAACTAAACTTTTTGTGATTATAAAATCATATAAAAAAATTATATCTAAAAAGTTAAAAAGTTATAACTAGTTATAACTCCCCCTTTTGGGCTCCTCAATACTGAGCCTACACAACATTTTACTGCATTAATCACACATATTATGAAAGATAATCACTGAAAGAAAAATTTGGTTAAGGGTTAAAGTTCTTTTTTTTTCTTGAGAGAAAAAGATTTTGTTTTTTATTCCTCAGCCATGTCCTCGGAGATCTCAACCGTCATGATGTAGTGTTTGGGTTTTGGTAGTTCTCTCTGTCCAGAGGCCATTGCTGACATCTGATACCGACGTGGATCGTCCTTCTTGTCTATGGCAGTCTACAACAAACAAAACAAAGCACAAACATATTCCAAGCCACCCCATTCTATCTTCTGGGCGGTTCATTTATTAAAATGCTGACTAAAATACCCGTAGTGAATGGTGCTGAGAACAATGTATGTCCTGCTTTAAGCCCAAAAAATCTAAAAATTGCAAGTTAAAAATATGGAAAAAATTAAAAATGTATAAGTATGCTAAAAGGTGCTTTCTAGTGGAATCCTTATCTCTCCATGTAGCTGGGTGGTAACACCCCCAACGTAAGTACTTGTATGCCTTTCTCCCTCTGACTCTACACTCGTGTGTTAGCAAAGCTAAAAAAATAAAGGTATACTACGCTTCTTCCTTCAGGCAGTCTAAGACTGCTCTCTTACATTTCGTCTTAACTCTCCCCGGGTCCTTAGAGGTCCAGCCGGACCGCGTGTGAGACTCTCTCTATCACCCGATATAGTCCTGTCCACTTTGGCTCTTACCACTTCCTTTTGATGGCCTTCAGCAGCACCCAATCAATGTCTTTTGGGGCTGGTGATTTCTCTGCTCCCCCTTGGATCTCATTCACCTGTTTTGAGAAGGCTGAAACCAATGCCGTTAGTTGATCATAGTATGGTTTGTACTTCAAAAATTGAGCTATTGGGGCTGTTACCCTGCCTGTTCCAGGTCCTGGGAACTGCTGTCCACAGGTGAGCTCAAATGGTGTAAACCCTGTCCTAGAGCTCACCGAATTTCTGACTGACATTAAAGCTAGTGGGAGAGCATCAACCCAACTCAGCTTGTCGTGTGCACATATTTTACCAATCTTTCCTTTCAATGTTTGATTCATCCTTTCCACCTTGCCTTGAAATTGGGGATGATAGACTGTGCCAAATGCGTGTTTTAACCCTAGGCTAGCCTCCACTGCCCGTAGGTGTTTGTTTTTGAAGTGTGTGCCATTATCAGATCTGATTCGTCTGGGAAACCCATGTGTGGGAATGTACTGATTTATCAGGAATTTGACTACTGTTTGTGCATCTTCCTTTTTTGCAGGTAGTGCCTCTGGCCAGCCAGTGTATGCATCCACGGCTACCAGGAGGTACCTGTACCCTCTGACCCTGTCATTCATGTCTGTGTAATCAATAATGATCTCTTGCCCTTGTCAGGACGGTAGAGGGAATTTTCCCTGGTGTGGTTTTACTGTAGATCTAATATTGTACACATTACACGTACTGCATTCCTTGATATGATTCTCTATCAT